GAGTGAATTTTACACTTCTAAAATACAAACGGTTAAGCAAAGGCAGGAATTTTTTTCATCCAAAGTTTATAACAATTTCTTCTTAAAAGAGCAGTTCTCATTTGGTTAGATGTCAATTTCATCTTTATTTCATTAAAACCTCTCAAAATTAGTTTAGTTATTTGGAAAATAAATTTTATTTTTTAAAATATTTGAACCAAAAAATAATTTGGAAATACTAATTTGATAATCATGATAACTAAGCTTATAAAAACTCCAAGTCAAACTTTTCCGCCTCCATCTTGCGATCGGACCAATAATGTTCGCGAGTTTTGTCGTCACCATCATCCATGCATCTGGTTTGTCTTAAGTTCTCTGATAAAAGTTAATTTAATAGATACTCTTCTGGCACTTCAATGTTGGAATTTTTATCATTGTTAATTGTTGGCGGTGAAATGTTGAAACGGTGGATGCACCTGGTCCTGTGTTGCCGTGACCGAGTTCGAATGCGAAGTGATCTTCGCCCATCCTGAGCAAACAAATTTATAACTGGTTGATTGACGCGTATTCACGTACGCAGATGACGACCACTGTAATGAAGTTTCTTCTCAATTGTTCTTCACTAATGGCATTAATGTTATGGTGTTTGCTTTCCAGGTGAATGTCTCAGTTCTGACTGGCTGAGCTACGGTGAATCAAGTTACAACTTTCCAACAGACTCTCTGAACTTCACTGATGCTCTCAACCACTGCATGTGTATGCAGAGTCTGTTCTTTAGCATTGCATCCAAAGAAGAAAATGATTTCATTGCCGATAAATGGTTGGCCAATTTTCTCAAAACCTTTACATTTTGTTGTAATTTTAATGCGCTCTTTTTATAATTACAAAATGTTTATAAAAGAGAATTAATAAATATCAAGAAAGTTATAATTTGTATAATAATGAATGTTAAGTGACATTGAAACTGAAACATGGAAATTGCAAACATTGTTAGCCAAACTGTTGGATGTTCAGAGATTATTAGATCGGCTTGTACTGACTGCAGTGTTTATTAAGTCAGGGTTATAACAGCAGCTACTGGCTAGATGGAAGTGAACTCAAATTTAAAAATCGGTGCACTGGAGAACGAAATGGAAATGTCTACAGTGCAAGGATGAAAAAAGTTGGAGAATGGAGAGAAATCTTCTGATCACGTTTTTAATTTTGTCTGCGGAAGACCACTGCCGTCAAAGTGTCAGTTTAAACTAATAAATTTGGTTTCAAAACGTTCAAAATAAAAATAGACACTTTATTTCTTAAACTGCAAACTAATTGTATGCAGCACACGTCACACACACACACACACACACACACACACACACACACACACACACACACACACACACACACACACACACACACACACACACACACAATCACACACACACCCACATTAATATATATACCTGCATGAAAGCACTGTAATGAATATTTTGCATATCTCAACTATTGCTTCATCACAAGTGTAATTAATTTTCAATTTTTTTGATCATTCCTCGTTCCATGTGCACAATCCTCGGCAACCACAACCGCACAACAACAACCGCAACAACCGCAACAACTACAACTACAATATCAACAACCGCAACAACAACAACCACAACAACAACAACCGCAACGACTACAACAACAACAACATCAACAACAACGCAATTATCAACTTCTACATTTGCCACAAATACATGGCAAAAAGTTACCACTCGCATAATTGAATACACGCCACGCTAACATACTCGTTCAAACGTTCAAATTCACACACGCATAAGTATACAGCACACACGCAGGACTATGCATTCACACTTACACATAAAACTCTTACACATACACATGCAAAAATATGAGCATTACAGGAAAAGATATACTGAATAGATTAACCGAATTAAAATGAATGAATGAATGAATGAATGACTGAATGAATGAGTGAATGCATGAATGAATGAATGAACGAACGAACGAACGAACGAATGAATAAACGAACGAACGAACGAACGAATGAATGAATGAATGAACGAACGAACGAACGAACGAATGAACGAATGAACGAACGAACGAACGAACGAATGAATGAATGAATGAATGAATGAACGAATGAATGAATGAATGAACGAATGAATGAATGAATGAACGAATGAACGAACGAACGAATGAACGAATGAATGAATGAATGAACGAATGAACGAACGAATGAACGAACGAACGAACGAACGAACGAATGAATGAATGAATGAATGAACGAACGAACGAACGAACGAACGAACGAATGAACGAACGAACGAATGAACGAATGAATGAATGAATGAACGAATGAACGAACGAACGAACGAACGAACGAATGAATGAATAAACGCACATATTTTTATGCAAATAATTTTGAGATGTTTTGAGTAATTGTACAAAAAAAGAGATTAACACTTCCTCCAATTCCTATTGAAAAAAAGTTTCTTCAGTTTCAATTCAATAACTGCTCTCTCTAGCTGGCCATAACTGCAGCATTGATCGTTCGAATTTTCTGTTAAGGTCACTTTTTATAAGCTGATTTCAACTGTATGGTTTTTGAAAGAGTTTTTTAAATGAAATATAACATACCTACAATAAAAATACTGAATATAACTAAAATATTCACAACTTATTGTGACAAATAATATTACCAATTCCGTTAACCTTTTCTCATATGTGCATTTTTTACAAATAAATAATAAATAATAATTATTATTATTTCAATAATACGAAACACAAGACGATAAATATAAGCATCTTTAACATTGGGTGAAATGTTTGTTCATTGTGACCAGGGCAAAAACATTTCCAAATTACCCATCCAAATCCTAGACAGTAAATTTAAAACTCATTCAAACTTTTATTCAATGGAATGTTTGATTTTTATTATTATCGTATAAAAAACTAATTTTCATCTAAAATTAAATTAAAAAGTTTATTTCAGATTTTTGAAATTCAATTTAAATAATTTTTCAAGGTGTTTTTTGAACGAATGATGTGTAAGATCGCTATTTCGGTATTCACACTTTTTCAATGATTTGATTGATTTGTGAAGTTATGTTTTATTGATGATGGAGTATCAAACCAATCATCTTTTTTGAAAACTTTACATGCTTTTGCTCTTAGTCTTGGATTATAAACATAGGTACGTGCATGCATGCATGTGCGATGCGATGCAATGGAATGCACGATTTTAAGTCCAGTGGAAGAAATGAAATAATAAATTTTCGAAATAAAACATTTAACTGAAAACTCGTCAAACCCCCTACGTTTTATGAATGAATGTGCCTATCAATAACGAATGAATAAAATATTAATAAATAAATTGATAAATAAATAATTTAAGTGGTATAATTATAATTTAATTGATAATTAAACAAACGAACAATTTAATTGATAATTAAACAAACGAACAATTAAAATAGTAGATAAATGACTGAAATAAAAATAATTACTGAATGAATGAGTGAATCGACTTATATATCGAGAATTGAAATCAACTATACATTATCATGGGACAAGCTGTCCGAATGAAACAGGGGGAATGTTGAACAGACTTCCTACGATTGAATGAACGCTGGATGTACTGCTTAACAGGGTGATAAATTATTCAAGTTGAAATGTTTTAAATAGAAATTTTCAGAAAGTGTTTTCATATGTGCATTTTTTGAAAATTTTCTGAGAATATGAGCATTTTCTGAATTTAGTAGTAAGAAGTAACCTATGAATGATTATGAAAGTAATATTTTGCAAGAGCTTTCATCTAAGAAAACAAAAAATTGAAATAATAACTTATTAAATGGTAATTTAATTATGTTTATTAAAAGTTTTGTTAAGTTTGAAAAATATAAGAATTTTAATAGCCAAATCTCAAAAGTTTAATGGCAAAAGTTCAGAATAACTAGCTAATGAATTTGATATGTTCTTTTGTATGGCCTACAAAAACTTTCTAAAAAAAAATTTTAATTAAAAGTTGTGTAAAATTTCATTTTGAAATAGGCAGAATTATATAGATATATTGTGTCACTGGTGGGAATTCTCATGTGAGGAAGACAATTTTATCATTTTGCTATCTTATTCTTTTTTTCTTCAATTTTCAAAATTTATTTTTAACGCTTGTGTCAACATTTGGTGAAGTTTTTTGGGAAAATGAAATATTTTGGAAATTTTTTAAGTTATTTGTAGTCTTAAACCATTTTTTACATTTACATTATAGTTATTTAAAAACAAATATTGAAACTCAGAACTGTGTTTCTGTCTAAAGCCTCAAAATCCTATTTAAGCATACAACTCCATGGTTTGCAATGTTGACAGACCATGGGTATATAATACTACTTTTTGGGAAAAATATCTTAAGTTGTGTGCAAATTGCATCAGCTAATATAAACATCAAATCTTCCTAGACAGTGTTGTAACATTTGCTATTAATTAAAATGCTGTCGTGTTGTTTATCGTTACTGGATGTAATATTTTTTTTAGAAGTTTTGTGAGTATTGATTTATTTGATATATACGTGTTTTTTTTAAAGTTATTTGATATATACGTGTTTTTTTTAAAGTTATTTGATATATACGTGTTTTTTAAAAAAAAATTTAATTTTAAAATAAATAAAAAACATAAATAAAACTTAAATAAAGTTTATTTTTCGAAGTAAAGAGAAAAATTATTAATTACTTAATAGAATATATAATGGAAAATAGTATTATAGAAATTAATTTGTTTGCCAGTTAGCAACAATTCACTGTTGATCACTGGAGTTGCTTGAGGCCAGGACTGACTGTTAAGAACATCTGTTTAATAAAAAAAAACATAAAATATTTCAAGTTTTATTAATCTGAATTATTTAATATATAAAATATAAATGATACTTTTATGAAATCAACTGTTTTTTGTTATCAACATATCTCACAATATGAAATAAAATATATTCCAAGTTCACCAGTAAAATAAAAATATATCAAAAAAGCCTGGATGGTTTGAAAAAAATGTTGAACCTTCTAAAATCTTCAGCGTATTTATCATTGCTTTCAGGTTGGATTATATTTTCCCGTCATTGAAACAAACGTGCAGGTAGACTGTTTCAAAAAAAAATTTTTTTTAAAAAACATTGCATAGGGGCTTATATAGTGCGGTTTTATATTTGTATCATCCTGTAAAAATTTCAATTAAAAAGGATAAGTATTAGTGACCTCTCAAATCACATTTTGTTTTTTTTTATGAAGCCTGAATGATTTTTTTTGGTGTTTGGGGTTTTTAAAATATTTTTACATGTTTTTATAAAACATTATAGAAGTTTATTGTTTGGAGAAGACAAAGAATTTGCCAAACAAGAAGAGAAAAGATTAAAAAGGAAATTAAGCAAGAATCAAAAACAAGAAAAACCTAATAAAAAGAGAAACAGAGCCAATTATGAAGATGATGATTATAATTCAACATCAACAGATGACATAAGCAATAAGTCTGATGAGGAAGTAGGGTGTCAGCAAATACCATCAGAAAAAATTGCAGGAAGTACTCCGATATCTCCTAAAACTAATGAACTTAAAAAAGGTGTCAAGTAGATGACCCACTGTTCATGGCAAGTCTAGATTGTACAAAAACAACTCATAGGGAAGCCATACATATAGTTGCTCCAGCATTAAAGGCAGTTGGAATCAACGTTGATGAACTCACTTTGTCAACAAGCTCTCTTTACGGATCTAGAAAAACTATCAAAACACATTTTTGCCAAACACACCTCTTGTGGCTCACTTTGATGAAAAACTTTTACCTGATTCTGATGGTGTAAACATAGATCGCCTGCCAATTGTGGTATCAGGGAAAAATGTAGAAAAACTGATAGCTATACCAAAGATTGGCGGTACTGGCATAAACATAGGAACCACAATAGTTCAGTTACTTCAGAATTGGGAAGGCGTGTCAAATTGGTTGCCTGGTTTGTGTTTTGACACAACAAGTTCTAATACTGGCATTCATACTGGTGCTATAACAATAATTCAGAAATCTTTTAATGAACATCTCTAGTTTTTAGCATGCAGCCATCATATTCTTAAAATTATTGGAACAGCTTTATTTGATTTATTTTTCACTTCATCTGGCCCTCAAATTGCTATTTTTAGTAGATTTAAAGATCAATGGCCATCAATTAATCAGTTAAAATATGCATCGATTGACAAGGTAATAACTGGTTGTTCTTTGACTAATGATGAAAATTTGTGGCTAAAGCAAAATCGTGTGGCTATGATTGATTTTCTTCAAGACCAACTGGAAAATACTCAACCTCGACATGGCTACTTGCAATTGATTAGGCTTTCTCTCACAACTCTTGGAGTTTCAGATCCTACTGCTGTACAAGTCACTCCTCCAGGAGCTTATCACAGGGCTCGCTGGATGGCCAAAAGAATTTATTGTTTTAAGATTTTTTGCTTTCGTGAGCAACTGAAGTTAACTGCACATGAGCTACAAGCATTAAAGAGACTTTGTCTCTTTACTGTAACTGTATATGTAAAGGCATGGTTTTGTGCAGCAAACAGCTATAGTGCTCCTTACAGTGATTTATGTCTTCTTCAAACTCAGGAATTATTTGAAAAAGTTGATTGCAAAGTTGGAAAAGAAGCAATGAAAAAAATTAAAAGGAATCTTTGGTATCTAAGCGAAGATCTTGTTGGAATGACATTTGTTTCTGATTTGGTTAATGTCGATGAGAAAAGGCTTATGGTTAAAGCATTACCTAAACCAGCAAAAAAATGATGTTAGAAAAGTAGATTCAAAACACATAAGAGGATTACAATAATGCAAGAGATAGTGACTGCAGTACGGATAGTTAATGGTTGTGCTGAACGAGCAGTTAAATTGGCATCTGATTTTAATACAGCACTTACTCATGATGAAAATCAGCGCCAGTTGATGTATCAGGTGATTGAGCATCACAGGAAATTAATTAATGAACCTTAGAAAAAGAACTATACTGATTCAGACATTACTTTATAATAAAACAATATATAAATATTCATAATAAATTAAAAACAATTATTTTTTATTAATTTAAAAAAAAATGCTTTAAAAAACTGAATTTTCTGAACAATCTCATCAATGAGAGGTCACTTAACATTGTTTGATTTTATTGATTTTTGGTGTTTGTCTTTATATCATCAAACGACACAAAATAAACCCATATGCAAATCTGGTTTGAAAAAAAATTTTTTTTCTTTATAAAAAAAAACTGTCTCTGCAGAGGCTTACCAAAATATTTTTAAAATTCATAATATACCTAATGCATGCCAGATTTTTGTTTTATAAATCAGAAATCTAGACTGAAATAGAAACCCCGAAATATAAATCTTCAAATTTGCAATATAAATTGATAGCAAATTTTTAAACGGAAACTTTTTTTTAATTTAAATTTTTCATAAATTTTGGAAAATCTATAAAGTCTAAACTCTAAAGACTGACTGTTAAGTTTTTGTTAAAAATACTTAAAAATCATGCAAACCTAGAGCTTTTAAGAACAAGTTTTACAACCCCTCTAACATTATCGTACATAAATACATATGCAAATAAGGATGTAAAAGGAAGTCTTATTAAGATGAAATATTGATTAGTGTATACCAACCCTGCTCGAATTAGCTGCAAAAATTTATGTTGAAATTTCGTGGCATGTACAACGTCGTTCTATACAATGTTTTTTTAAAGTTTCAACCATCCCAATTAAGTAGTGCATCGGATAAACTTTGTTAATTTCACACAAGATTCATATTGCAAAAAAAATTTAAAAATTTAGATCCAAGACAACAACAAAAAAATTGAAAACCACTGTAAACTGTACGTACGGTGAGCAAAAAAGAAAGATCACAAATCGTTTTTGTTACACTCAATGCAATCCGCAAATAAAATCCTTGATCAAAAATCGTCTTTTGCAAACAATTTTCAAGTTTTTTGTTCATAAGACCATGTAGTCTCACAATCCCATCAAAAGTCCCGAAGAATATAATGATTAAAATCATTACATACTCACCAGACTGAAAAATCACTCATCATACTTACTAAATTTTACCATTTAAATTAAATCAACAAACAATTCTTCCTCAATAACGAAATAAATATCGAGATCCCTCAGACATTTTTTCATTATTTCGCAGCATAACGTCCTGCCTACTCTTATTTAGGCTGCCAATATCCATACCACTGATCGTGTTTGTATGTCGAGAGCAACTCAAATAAAGGAAATAATTGATTTCACATTTGGCTGCCACTGCAATTGCAACCAAACTTATTCCAGATATGTTGATATCAGACGTAACATGAACATTTGTCCGATGTATTTATAAGATTATTTTTTCATTTATTAACTTAGTTTTTTATTTTACTAAATGTTTTTGTCTGTTATTAGTATTCTTTTTAAAATTTTATCAGAAGTGACAACGACAAACACACAGTGTATAAACACACGAGAATCATTGTATCACACACTTTTGCATGTGGCGAGCTGAAATCTCTTCACATTCGAACCCGGACACTGCATCATCAATACCTGACACCTTAACCATTACACCATCACACAAAGCATGATAACAATCCCGAAAAACACCAAGCTGTTTAGAGATGTGTTTCACTTATATGAATGCGGATTAATTTTTTGGCCTACAGAGCATGTACAATCACACAAAACATGCACACCCACGTAAAACATGCAGTCTACAAACACACAAAACAACATACACCCACGCAAATCATGTGAAACGAGCCAAAACAAAGAGTATGAACTCACTGAAAACAACGCACAATGGTATACGTGCAGGTTTCAAACGCATCGAGTGCATGTAAAGTTTTTTGACCATCCGATTACTAACAATACTTTCTTATATTTTTGAGCTTATTGAGCTTACTCGCCGAACAACATTTGCGAATGAGAAATAAAAAAAGTTAATGAAAGAATGAATGAATGAATGAATGAATGAATGAATGAATGAATGAATGAATGAATGAATGAATGAATGAATGAATGAATGAATGAATGAATGAATGAATGAATGAACGAATGAATGAACGAATAAACAAACAAATAAATGAATAGACGAACGCAACTTCCACTTAATGTTTGTTTCAAATTTTATCACATGCTATTTCTCGGTAGTCTGTTTTTGTATCATACAATCTCATCGAAGCGTATGAGAAAAATCACCGTGTGCTATTGAGATATTTGTATCGAAATAATACTTACTTGAGGGCAGAGCCACATAAGTTAAGTAGGTACAGAGCAGTGCCCGAGAAATGCTAATAACATATGTAATATGAGTAAAATATAATTTGTTGCACCCATAGATGTGTGTGTGTGTCTGTTTGTTTCTGTGTGTTTCTATGTTTGTGTCTGTGTTTGTATGTGTGCGTATGTCTGTCTGTGTGTGTGTGTGTGTGTGTGTGTGCGCGTGTATACAACGAACGAGTAATTTCATCGTTGTTTGTGTATTTGTGTAATTCAATAAATAATAATAATATTTTTATTCTTATTATTAAATATTATTATTATGATTAAATTATAAAATAGAAAAGAATATAAAAAATGATAATGGATATATGGTACAAGTAGGTAGTTCATTATTTTCACCTGTTCTCTCGGCCATATTTTCTACTGCAGATAAAGTTCTCAACAGCGCGCCAAATGGACCGGCTAACCTTCTCTTTGCATTTTTTTTCCAGTTTTTTCCACTTCAAACGCACCTGCTCTCAGCGGATAATTACCATCTTGAATGAAAAAATTCATTTTTGTATCTGTTGAGAATTTTAATGGAGTTTGAAGGTAATAGTTTGAATGGCGTTGAATTGTAAAATGTTAATCTTGCGTGGAAATAAGTGGACATGTATTACATGTATTGATAACATCGTTATAAAGATAATTGAAGCAGTCCCCGAATTCTACGAAAATAAATTTACATGGGATCGTATGGATGTGTAACTCTAATGCATAGAATTATTATGTACCATTTTATTATATTTTTTACTTCTCTTTTTAATTAATATCCAATTTATTATAGATTTTAGATTATTTGGTCTCTTGTTTGTTTAACAATCAACGCAGACAAACTTTGATGCACTGTTTTTTATATCATCATTGGAGCCCTAGAAAAACCTGTTGAAACATTTTGGAATTAATTTAAATATTTTAATCAATGTACTTTCGAAAAAAAAATTATTAGTTCAACTTACATATCTAAGCAAACTGCTATTTTTTTTGATAAATTCATCCTTATATCCTGTTATCATTACAAAAATTCATTCAATCATTCAATTCATTCATTCAATTCATTAATCAACTAAATTAAAAATAGATTTTGACACTTTCACACACGGATATATATATATATATATATATATATATATATATATATAAATTTTAAAAATTTAACACTACTTTCAACATTGAAATGTTGCGTAAACAATAGTCTGTTACCAATATATATATATATATATATATATATGTATGTATATATATATATATATATATATATATATATATATATATATCCATGCTTTCATAGTTTAAAATCCGTCAAAATCATAATAAACAATTTATTTTATGTTTTTTAAATATTTATTAATTCAATTAATGTTTATTATAATCAACTTTATAATTATTTATTCTTTGTAACATTTTTTATAAGTATTGTGATTTTAAATTTAATTTATATTCGACGATTCAACAATTTTATAAAACTTCAAAATTTCGTCTTCAAAACAATTGTTCACCAATCTAATAAATTTGGTACGTGTGTATGGAAGTATGTAAGTAGCAAAACAGTCAAATAACAACAGCAGAACTCAATAATTAAAACATTGTACCAATAATTGCATTAAAATCTACCTCTGCGATGAATACAAAAACAAAATAAAAACTAAACGAACATAGATAACACATCTTTTTTGACAAACAATAAAAAAAACAAACACATCGCAAACATAAACAAAGGTGCAAAAATTGCACACACATCTGCACCTATCAGCAGAAGGCCTTGAAAAACACACAACAAATGAACAAATAAAAAACTTTACTGTCTACCCCGGCAAAACAACGAACGCAATCATGATTTTTCATCCATGTACATTAAAAACATACATAAAAACTGGTTTTGTAGCCAGCCAGTTCGGTTCCCTGCCAACTATAATACATGCAACAATGTGTGTTGAATTACATATTTACATGCAATGGCGTATCCAGGAGGAAAGGGGCAGGAACAAAGGTTGGCGTGATTTGCAATAAAGTCGTCAACATATATCTGACCCCACTAGCAAAAATTTTTGTTGCCCCCGTCAAATTTTGAAAATTTCATCAAATTTTGAAAATTTCAACTTACATTTTCAAAATTTTGGTCCGCCAGTCAGATCCGCCACTGAATGCACATTTTATTCCGAGATTATTTTTGTTATTTTACCACTGTGATGAGGTGTTCGAAACTTTTGTGTCCGTAGCTACATGAGCTTATATAATGGCGATTTCAATCTGTGAGATAAATTTGAGTTTGAAGTTCAGTTTTGCTGCTACTTTTCAGAAAAATTGTTTCTATCTGGCAATAACTGGTGGCCTACACAAGACTATTTTATCTTATTTGGTCTCCGCAAATATGCTGTTTGTTAGTATTGTCTTTCAGTTGATATAATGAAATAATGGAAATTTACGAAAAAATAAAACAAATTTAAAGTTACGGTCAACAAAAAAACAATCAAAGACAGAAATGATTCCTATTTTTTAAACAGTT